CAGGAGCAGTTAAATTGGTAGATACATATGGAAGAGGCGAAATTAGGCAGTTTATCTTTTACTCCCGAACGCAGAAGAGGAGTGGTTTTGAAGACATAGCGTAATTCGGCAGCAGGGAATGCTCTTTTTACGGCATTCTTTTGGTGTCGTGTTAATATCTCGCTGATGTTATCCCCGAAGAACTGAATTTTTAAGAATAAGGCCTTTCTAGGAACTTTTGATACTTCGATCTGTCTTGATTTTGATTCATATTCTTATCGATGAATTTTTCTGGATAACCCTTCTCACTCAGCAACTGTATAGTAATATTAAGCTCTTAATTTACACATTCACCATAGCATACTACTCTTGCTCTGTAAACTAAGCACTTTATCAGATTGTGTTTGTATTTCAAAGGCACGAAGCTGAAAAAATGAGTATACTGACCTGGTGATGTAGGTTTTCTGTATACACTTCTTATTGCATTGACTAGTTAACAAAACAGTATACAGAGTGACAACAAATTATACTGCAATTGTAATTAATACATGTTTAAAACTTTGGCATTGTGGTAGAATATGATTCCCTGTTAATTTGTATATTGGATATATCACACAGAGAAACAGTATTACTTGGTGGGTGAAAAAGTTTTAACACAATTTATTCTTCATAATCATATCAGTTATAACTATACAACTTCGGAATTTGAGTTTTATAGTTCTCTTCATTCTTTCCCATTCGTCGTAGAGGTAGTCGAATTTTCCAGATGTCCGGATGGACAGGTGTTGAATCATTCCGGTTGCACATACTCTCAGCTGATTTGACAAATAAGGCTTTTTTAAATCAGTTTCTCTCTCTACTCTGTTATGTTAGATTTGAATACTGTCACTTTGGTTCATCTTATTGTTTAGTTTTGTGTAATTGCATGTAGTGCTATAGGTGAGCTATTTTCTAGACTTTATTTTTTATCGCAGTAGGGTCAGCTGTTCTAGGTTTTGCCTGCTTTTCATGCTCTACTGGTCTCATAGACTCCGCCTTACTACTTTGATCTGGTAATCATTTGTAGGTAATAGATGTGCTATTTTATTTTATTTAATGGGATCCACAGGATCCTTTAGCAAACATGATTTGTTTCTAAAAGAGTTTCTCTGGATTTGAATGCCAGTTGTATTCCTGCTCTGTTACGTAGTCTACTTAAGGTTTCAGAGGTCCTTTCCTTGCATAGAGGCACTACCAGTGTTTGAAGTTCCTTATTGTTGGTGTGGTCATTTTTCTGTGTATCTTTGTTGTTTCTGTCGTGATTATTAATATTAATTTTACTTTTGCACTTTCCTACATATTTCCTGATTAATTTATCAAGGTAATCATTAAATTTCAAGCTTCTTTTATACGTCTTGCCTTCTGCTGAAGGTTTTCGTTGGTACTATTTGGTTTTTTTTGTCCTATTACTTAAACAATTCACCAGTCCTATTTTTACTGACGTGTCCAATCTTTGCTTTTTACCGGGATTACTACGGGTAAGGCGAAATTCGGGAGTACATCAGGTGATATTCCTAATTGTGGTGGACTGGATTATGCGTCAGACAGTGAGAAACGAGAAGACAGGGATATCCTGGACCGACGTGAAGAACCTAGAAGACCTGGATTTCGCCCGTGGATGATTTATGTTTGATGTCACACAAAAGCGAAGACTTACAAGCGAAAACCAACAAACTGGTCGAAGAAGCAGCAAAGACAGGACTCCAGGTGAACATAGACAAGACGGAGGTTATGAAAATAACCAATCAACAACAACAACAGCAGCAACAACATCCAGCGCCAATCACCATCAACGGGAGGGATTTGAAAGAGGTTACTTCATTCACTTATCTAGGGAGCATTGTCTCAACTACAGGAGGAACGGACGAGGATGTCAAATCGAGAATCGGAAAGGCAAGAAACACACTCATCAACCTGAAACCAATCTGGAAATCTTCGTCACTCAGCATCAACAACAAAATTCGGATTTTCAATACAGACGTCAAGTCAGTCACTTCTTCTATACGGATGGATCAGAAACTTGGTGGGTCACAAAGAATATTTCCAACAGCCGGTTGCAGACCTTTATCAACAACTGTTTTCACTCTCTACTGAAGATTAGATGGCTGGGAAGAATCACCAACAAGAAACTATGGGAACAAACAAAGCAAGAACCAATTGCTGAACAAATATGCAGGAGAAAGTGGAGATGGATTGGACACTGGCTGAGGAGGCCGTCGGGTGACATCGCGCGTCAGGCCAACGCTCGAGTGGAACCCGAAAGGGAAGCGGTGAGTGATTCGTTGGTGCAAGGGTGACATGGAGGAGATCGTGTGAAGAGGAGCTGAAACAGTATGGACTAACATGGATGCAGGTGAAAAGTACAGTAGAAAACAGAAGCAAGTGGAGACGTGCAGTTGAAGCCCTATGTTCCTCTACGAACCCAAGGGAACAATAATATAATAATAATATGAAGACAGTAGAATACTTCTGGGAGACTTCATTGAAGTTATTACATCATTAAGTGCAGCAGATTTTTATTCTTTGCTGACTTTGATTGTCGAGAGAAAGATGGTCTTTTAGTCCTATCTAGATAGTGTTTTTGGCTTTTTACCTCAGCAAAAGTATCAGCAAAGTTATTTATTTTCTAATGAACTTTTGACTAATTTAGATCATATCGAAATACAGCTCTTCTACTCATAACTACTTAAGCATTGTGTAACTAGCAATTATTTGAATGTTAAATATATAAGGATTTAATAAATGTAGATTTCGTCATGAACCAGTATTGGTGAGAGAATTACTGAAAACAAAGCAGTACTGTACAGCTATTTTATTTCATTTTGGCACTGTTTAGAAGTTCATGAAGATATGACTGCTTTCAGAATCGATTTCTTTGGAAAGTGATATCATTTGAAGAACCCATTAAGACTAGGAAATATACAGCAGTTCCTTTCGATTTCGGAATTCTTCGATAATACTTGTTATTTTTATTTCCGTGGGCTTCTGTAGCATATTCTGTTCTCTGCAGTCACTTTTAGCTGACTCAACGACTGCCC